TAGCTTGTATTATATATTGCAATACAAAGTATGTATATATAGTACTAAAATAAAGTCTTAAATTAAACCTTTATTAAACTTAGCTTTTAAATAGTCCTAACTCCCTCCCTCCTTTCTCTCCCACCTCCATAATCTATTTACTGTTTATCATACACAATATTGCCCATAACCTAGAAAAAATTGTAATCAAACATTTCCTCATACACAGTGTGTCTGGTTTTATGTCTGATGCATAAAGTGCTTTTAGGGCCAAACACAATACTAAACATACACATATAAAAGCTGTGATATTGAGTTTGTAATCTTAGATATTCTTAATATCTAAGATTACAAATTCAATATCACCTTTCAAGACAATTAGATATTCTTAATATCTAAGATTACAAACTCAATATTGCCTTTCAAAACGTTTTACATGTGCCCAAGTAAAAGTGTTTAAAGAAATAGAAAAAATGTTGCAAATTTATATTCATGATATTAATTAGTAAGGATATTAGACTAAAAGTCTTTCTTTTAATTTTTACCTAATAATCTACTAATTTTGTATGCAGTCTAAGAATATCTAAGATCACAAACTCAATATCACAGCTTTTATATGTGTATGTTTAGTATTGTGTTTGTGCCATGTTGACTTTGGGTGCAAAATTTGCAGCTTACGTGAGTTCCTAAGATTTCTAACAATAGTTCTGACTGAAAATAATGATCTAAGAGGATTATCAGACAATGTGGCAACTTTTTTTATTAATCTGAGGCAAATGCCTTTCAAGACGTTTTATATGTGCCCAAGTAAAAGTGTTTAAAGAAATAGACTGCTTCATAAACTTGATAAGAATATCTTGGTTTTTTTCAGATATTTCTACAATACTGTAAATCATTTTGCATCATAAACACATGCTGTATTAATTTCTGGTGAAAGAAAAGCCTATGCTGCATTGTAGAAACATTTACATGAGTATGCATATTGTTTTCTCTGTTAAGTAGTTAATGATTGTGATATAAGACAATAGTGGTTTCTTGTTCCTGGAATCGATAAACAAGTAGCATAGCATTCTTCTAGTTTAAACTTTATGTAATGTAATACAATTGCATCATTTGAAATGTATTGAAAGTGTGTTCCTTTGATATTTTTCTCCGCTAATCATACATTTTCTCAAGTGAATTGATAGGATCTGTTAGTGATTGTAAACATCACAAACACTTTTTCCATGTGATGTTGCAAAAAAATGCCATTCTGCAGATACTTCCTAATCTTGTTCATGGTAACTTAAGTTAAATATATTTTTATAATTTTTGTATTGTGAGCCTGCACCATCACTAAATATAATTTGGTTAAAGTAATGCATTAACTCTTATAAATGTTTTATTACGTAAATGAAACAATGAACTGAGTTTGCATTAATGTTGCAAATTATCTGAGATGATCAGGAGTCAAAATAAGTGTCGGATATTGGCACCCCATGGACTGATTTTAAGACCTGATTTATCGGGTCAACAACCAACCATTGTTCATTTTTACTAGAAAAATTAACAATGGTTTATTGCCCTCCCAAGTCTTTTTTTTTTTTAATATAATATCTTCTGTTATGTTTATGTTACTGGAAGAGAAAAGATGAAGATTGTAGACCAAGATAACGACTTAAAAGATTGTAAATCATATGAATCAGGAAAGCAAGATGAAGGAAGCGAATTCTAAAGAACTAATGTTCCAGGAAAAAAATTAGACGAATAAGAGTTTTTGAAGCACTTAAGAACAGTAACAGAAAAAGGATGAGACTTAATTGAATGACAAGTAACACAAGAGTGAATTTTAATAGATGGCGCAAGAGACTCTAGCTCTTCAGAGCAGTACCCATTATAGTATTTGTAGAAAAGTGAAAGAGAAGCAACATTATGACGATGTGATAATGGTTGAAGGTTGGCTGCAAGAGCAGCTCCAACAATGTTTACAATGCAATTTTGCACCTTGTCTAAAAGAGAAAGAGCGTCATTGGAAGATCCGCCCCAGATATGGCAACAGTATTCCATACAAGGCTGGATTTGAGATTTATAGAGATAGAGAATAGAATCCAGAGAAAGAAAGTGTCGAGCTTAATAAAGAGATGCAACTTTAGCAGATGCTAAATTTGTAACGGATTTGAAATATGGTTTCCAAGAAAGATTAGAAGTGAGAGTTAATCCTAGAAGATGAAGGGTAGATGACTCATCAAGTACATTACCGTTCATAAATATAGGAAGATCTAAATTTTTGCGATAACGATTAGTTGAAAAAAATTGAGTTTTATCTGAATTAAAGTTCACCAGCCACCATGAGCCCCATGTTGTAGCAGAAGTGAGAACCTTTTCAAGCTCAAATGCCCTATCCAAGCAATCAGAGAGAGTTGGCTTCTTATCATGACAAGAATAAATGGTACTATCATCAGCGAACAATGCTACCTTAGATGTGAGAATATCTGGAAGATTGTTAATGTTTTTTTTTTTTTTTTTTAACATCTTCTCTTCC